AATCCCAGCACTCAGGAGGCAGAGGCAGGTGGATCTCTGTGAGTTTGAGGCCAGCCTGGTCTACAAGAGCTAGTTCCAGGACAGGAACCAAAAGCTACGGAGAAACCCTGTCTCGAAAAATCCAAAAACAAAAAAAGATTTCTTCTAACTAAGTTATGGCACAAGGCTGGACAGTTAAAATATTCTTGAAATAAAACTGTAAAGGTATAAACTGCTGAATTTGTCAACTGAAAGTAAATTTCTTCTGGTGGTCCTTTTGGACAGGTATCAAGAAAAAGGCATTTACTGGATTGATAGCTTTATACTATGTACCAGATGTGTTAATCTGCCCAAGTAAGGATACCATATCTGTTACAGCAACTACAATTACAGCCACTACTTGACAGAGTTTTTAATAGTCAACTGTCATTCTCTACTGTCCTTCCATACAGGCCAAATAAGAAAGCTAGAGGAAGATGTGATAAAAGCCCACACACCTGCATCTTTCAAGTCCTTGATGTTGGTACCAATTTCTGCAGTTCCTCCATGGAAGTGATACTGATTTGATTCACTAGAGTCCTTGGCAGAGCAACTCTAAAGGCTTCCATTTGGCCTTTCCATCCACAAGAGCCCTCACTCAACTGATTGGGGAACCAATGTGAGAATTCTGCCAAGTTCCAATTATATCTATCTCAATTATGCTTTCTAGGGAAATAACCACAGGATGAGTTTGGGGACCCACTGGACCTATTGTGAGTTGGACATCAGTCTCTGCCTCAATAAGCCTCTACATTAACTACAGGGCCACAACGTTTCTTATGATCTCCTGGAATCAGCATCAATTCAGAACCAGTATCCAATAGTCCCCAGAAAGTCTGGCTATTTCCTTTCCCCCCAACATATAGTTACCCTGGTAAAAGGCTACAGATTCGTCTGGAAAGGACTGGAGAAAAGCTAACCATAAAATCTTTAGATATTTTCTCCAGGTCCTTCCTCGGTGGAACCTGGCTGTTCATTCACAATTTGGCTCAAGTTTAGAAATTGATGGCCTTTTGCCATAATCCAATGCAGCCTTTTTTTTTCATTCATTTGTGACTTTTTTCATCCACATATATAGATCAAACAAAAATTCAATAGGTTTCTTATCTATTTCATATATGGAAACACTATGGTTGATTGGCCAGTACCAAAGGTCTATGAGTCATGATGCCATAAGATTCATTTTGCCTAGGAAGGCCATTATGGGTCAGGACAATTATGGACACTGCTTTGTCTATGCTGCCCATTACAATAACCAAGATCACCTTGTCTTTGATAACTCAGTGCTGGCACGCAGCTGCTGGTGCCTGGTCCCCAATTGAACCCATTGCATTGAATTCTTACAATTAAGCAGCAGTGTCTCTAAACCTAAGGTCTGACACAAGAAAGGGGGCAACAACAAAGCCCTCCAAGTGTGCTGGTGCCCCCTCAACATTTTGTCTCATAGGACTAGTGAAGGGTGTGTCTTCTGCGCCTTCTCCTTGTGGAGGATTAGATTTTACACAGCGCACCCATTCTAGCATCGCCATTTCTCTGAACCTTAAAATTCCTTCATCAAGTCGGGCAGTGTTGTTGCACTCAGAAGGCAAAGGCAGGCAGACTTCTCTAAGTTCAAGGCCAGCCTGGTCTACAGAGAAAATTCCAGGACAGCCAATACTGTTTCACAGAGAAACCCTGTCCCAAAACATACACACACCAAAATGAAGGATGAGGAGGAGAAGGAGGAGGAGGAGGAGGAGGAGGAGGAGGAGGAGGAGGAGGAGGAAGAGGAGGAAGAGGATCCTTTCATCAACACTAAGACAAGGAATATCAAGCATCTCCAATTCCTTTTTGGTATGACAGCTTTTCACAAATGTTTCAGCCAACCATTCAACCTCATGTGTGACACTTTTTTAAATTGTGAGAGCTTCCATATTAAACCTAGAATCTCCACTTAGTGGGCCCATATCAATAAACTCAGTCTGATCCAGTTTTACGTTTATTCCACATTATCCTACACCCTTAAAAATCTATTCCCACAAATAGTCCCAGGTGTCTGCTTGAATAAAATGGCAAACTCATTAAGCTCTTTAGTAGTCCCCATGGACCATCTTTCCACCTTCCCACCAGGAGCCTTCTTTTCCTTAAGTCTGGTTGTAAGTCTAGAGACAACTATTGGTGGGCCCTGTGGAACACCAGAATTGTCTTGCCTGGCATTTCCTTCAGGAAAAGTTGTTGTTCTTTGTTGGTTTGTTTGCTTTTTATCAGATAACAAAGGATTAATTTCCTCAAATAAAGGTGAAGGGGGGGGGATTCACATTCATCTTCTGCTGAGTGTGTAAAAACTACTTCCTCTGGTGAGATAAACCCCTGAAATCCTGAGGGTTCAAAGTTCTCAGCTTCAATAGGGTACTCCCACACATTCCCATCCCAAGGTGCAAGGTCCCATTCTTTACCAATGAATGCCCTTACCTTAACCAAAGACACCCTCCAAAGCTGGGACTTGTAATTTTCACTGCAATTCAGTCAACCTTGTAATGAGGACCTTGGCTTAATTTTTCAAAACTTGAGCTCTGTGGCTGCTGAAGAGAAGATTCTCTTCCTGTGCACACTTAGAAAACTTTATATCTGAGTCAATTTTATCACCCAGTTCATTCTTGTCTATCACCCTATTCTGAGATGCTGGAGATAGGTTAATTTTATCACACAACTCTTCCTTTCCGTTGTCAATTTATACAGAGATCTGGGAACAATTAATCAGCATCATCATTTTCCCTATTTTTCCACAAACTTGAAAGTTTTACATACTGAGTTACCAAATCTTTTTCCAGTCACAATTAGTGAATCAGGATAATCAAAGGCATTTATCTCTTTAAGTTTGTAAAACAGTTCCTACCATGGGCTTCTAGTGCTCTCCAAGCTCCCAGGAGAGGCTTCAGTAACTGTAGGTGTTGGCAAATTAGAGAGCCTATCCACGATACTTAAAAGAGCCATCCTTATACTTTTGTTGCTCTAGAACCACCTCTGGTACCAAAATCTTTATTAGTCAGGGTTCTCTATAGCTTACAGAATGACTATATAGAGAAAGGGGATTATTAGACTTACAGCCTGTGGTCTTGCTAATCCAACAATGGCTGGCTATTATTGCTCAGTAGTTGCTTAAGTCCTTGAGGCTGGATGTTTCTGCTGGTCTCCAGTATAAGCCAGAATCCTAAAGAAGTGGGTTCTAATGCCAGTGAAGGAATGGACTTGCTAGCAAGGGGAGGGCAAGTAAAGAACAAATTTCCTTCTTCTCTGTCCTTATATAGGCTTCCAGAGGTGTGCCCGGATTAGAGGTGGGTCTTTCTACCTCAAAGATCTGGATTAGAAGTGGGTCTTCCCACTTCAAATAAAGCAAAAATGCCTCTCGGGGATTTCTAAAACCCATTTTGGGATTTTAGTTAACTCCAAATGTAGTCAAATTATCACAGTATCAAAAGTACTAACCAGACCCAATACTGCTCAGCTTCTGGGATCAGAGAGGATGGGGTGGGCACTACAGCCATGACTCCTGGTGCCCTTCCTAAAGGTACAAACCCAAGAACTGCGAGGGAATCACTTTTCAAGCTTTCCGCTTCCTCGTGCAGTCTTTCCTAAACCTGACCTCAGACTTGCCTGCTGTGATTTTCCTTCCCCACCTCCCCTTTCATGGTGACTCTCAGAAACAATAAAACACTCCCATTCATTTTAACTTGCCCTGGATACACCACCCCAAAGTGGAAAATATCTATCAAATATCAAAATAAAAGGATATTTCCCTCCTCCTTAAACAGGATTCCGTTTAAAAACAAACAAACAAAAAACCTCCCAGCTCTCCTGCTTAGAAATAAATTTCCAATACAAACTCACCTTTGCAATCGAATGCTTAGCATTAAAGCTTATTGCTACTGGAAGTTAATAAAAGGATCCTGTATCCCATTTCTATTACACACATGCACAGCACATTTGGGGTGGGAGGTGGGTGAAGATGGAGGGAGTAGTAAGGAACTCTCCTGTATACCAAATAATGGAATAAAGTTATGAGGGCGTAGAATGGAAATCAGACGCAAGCAGAAAGTTATATCATTTTAAAAGAGCTTTGTTTTTATTTTGGAGACAGGGTCTCGTGCACCCTCCACTGGCTCCAACTCCATCTACAGCCACCTCACAAGAGCTGGCTGGATTACAGGCATATGCCACCACATCACATCGGTGTGGTGCAGGTACCCAGTTAGGCAAGCGCTCTACCAAATGAGCTATATTCTCAGTCTCAAAAAAGCTTTCTTCCTTTAAATGAATAATAGTGTATAGTAAATCTTTACGGTATTTATATCCCATTAGATAATTTTCTCTGTGTGTAGATTACACTGGTCTCGAACCCAAAGAGATCAACTTGCTTTTGCCTAAGGAAGGCATGAACCACCATGCCAAGCCCATTAAGTAAATTTCAAAGACTGTTTTAACGTTGTCATTTACAAATATAAAAATTTTACAAGGTCAGACATTATGTTCTGTGCAACTATTTAAGCTTATAATGAAACAAAAATTAGAAAACTTCATTTAAATTGCATGAGCGCATCAAAAATATATATTTTTGCACAAATGCAAAAGTAAGTATAAAATATGTTCAATCTCCAGTTAGTTGGAGGAGGTCTACAACCTCGGACAAAGTAAACAAGCCAGTATCATTAAGCATCCTTGCTAAACCCAAACCTGATAACCTTTTCCGACCCACACCAGCGTTCTCCGGTGGGGTGGCGGCCGCCCCCTCGGAGACCCTGGGTGACCTCCCTCTGCCCCCAGCGCCTCCCTGCCGCAGCCCTCCCGCGCACGCGCAATGCCCCCGCTTCCCACGCGCGGCTGCTGTGTCATGGCCGAGCGGAAGTCTGTGCCTCGGAAGGAAGAGGCAGCCCTAAGATGGACGGCCATATCTCCCTCCTGTCCCTCCCCCAGCCCCGTCTCGGCCTCCCAGGGTCAGGCTGTACCCTGCACTCTCCCGAACACTTCGTAATCCACAGACTTGAGCGGCTCCGCCATGGCGGCCAGGTTCCTCGCGAGCAGCCGGATCGGAGTGTGCGGCGCGCGCCCGGCGGCGACGGCGGCTGCGCGGAGGAGGCTCATGGGCGCTGGCACCGGTGCCCGGCGGCGACGGCGGCGGAGGAGGCGACGGCCCGGGACGCGAGCGCCGAGTCACGCGACAGGCGGCGTCTGCTCGGTCCCCAGGACCCGGTTCTCTAAAGTGCCCGAGGTCGGCAGGCGAAGGGATTAAACCGAACGATTATATCCATCTACTTACTGACGTGTATTAGACACACAAAAATGTTAGTTTTTTTTCCCCCTTTCCTTAAGGATGAAAATCGGAGGGGACTTGTTGGGACGAGGAAGGGGTAAGAGGGTGAGAGAGGGTAAGAGCGGATACAAATTACCAAAATTCATTCTATACAAGGATAAAACTGCCAAAGGATTTTTTACAAGTTTCAGATGTTTTCAGATCGGTACCCTGTAAAGAGATTAATTCATACTAGTTAACATTCACCTCACATCTGATTTCGTTTAAGATCTCAACAATTTCAAGTTATATTTGTCGTTCTTAATTATGCTCGCCATTCTGTAAATGTGGTGCCCTCCACTCCACATTGGAACAAATGTACCCTGGAAAGGAGATCCCCATTTCCAGCCCCTCCTCAGTTACTCCCGGGGTTTGCATTTGAAATGAAGGAGCTGCTTAGCTTAGTGACACAAGGTTTTCCGTTGGCGAATTAATTCCGAAATGTTCTGGCAGCTGCCAAATCCACAGAGATGGTGAGCTAACCGGTCAGTTAAGCTCGCCTTTTTCGGTTAGGCTCCCGATTCAGAAAGGTTTATGCCTGAATCCCAATTCTAAATAGATGCAGTACTGTCTAGGATGAGAGATTTTAATAATTTCCTCCCATGCTAAGGAAGCACAGTCATCTTGTCTGTTGTCATACAGTTTTAGATGTTTGGTAGTTTTGTCTTGACAGTTCTGTTGCCTAGGACAGTTAAGACCGTTTACATTTAGAGAATTATATTTCCTAGTGAGGTATTTAAAGTCTTACCTTATACTAACCCATCACTCCAAATAATCAGGATACAGCTTTTGATAACCGGCCTTCTAAACGTCAAATACTTTTACATGTGAGCTTATTTGTTTATTTGTTATTTAGACTTTTTTTTTGCCTCTTTCTGAATGGAAGAATCTGCTACAACTGTATTAAATACTATATGCCAGTTCTGTCTGGAATACACAAAACTCAGGGCCAGGTGTGGTGGCATACTCGTTTAATTCCAACACTGGAGAGGCAGAGGCCAGCTGATGTTTTAAGTGTGAGGTCAGCCTGCTTCCAGGCCTGCTAAGGCTACGTGGTGAGACCCTGTATCAAAAATGAGTACTCTGAATCTCGGACAAAGTGTGGTCAAATCAATTTTTAGGTAAGATATGTTCTAGATTTGCTAGTCTCGATCAGTTTAGCTGATGATGGGCTTAGTGTTGCAGAGACGTCATAATTTAACTCCTTCTTCTCCACTCCCAAGTCTCTTCCTGAAGACCGTGGAGTCCACATAGATTTTGAGTCATTCTCAGACACCCTCAGATTCTCTCCATTGCATTCAGAACCAAACCTAAGCATCCAGCCTTCTCTAATCTGTTATTTCTTGCTTCCCCAAACACTGAAGGTAACCCACTGTCCAGTGCTTTCAGCAGAATGTAATAAAAACTCTTCTCTGGAACCTACTTTACCTGGGATACCTCCAGGTACCCCTAAATCTTCCCTTTGCTGCTCAGTTGCCTTGCATATCCTTCTCAGATTGCATCCTCTCCATTCAGGGCATCCTCCCCATTCAGGGCATCCTCCCCATTGGTTCTGTGCCTTAAAAACCGTTGCCTGGGAAGGTGGACCTTTTCCTGTTCTTCTCCACTTTTACCCAGGAATACCTCTGCCAGTTATCATGTAGCTCTGTATTAACTTCAGAAGTGTTATAGTGACAATTGACATTTGCTTAGCTAAAAAAAAAAAGGTATTGTATATGCCAACAGCTGAACATTAGCAAATGAAAATTTCTATGTACCATTTCAGCATGGATTGCTAATAAAATGTGATTCTAAGATTTTAGAATTGTTTTTTAATGTTTTCTTTTTTATTGTTTTTATTGAGCTATACATCTTCCCCTCTCCCCTTCCTCCACACCCCCAATTTACTCAGGAGATCTTATCTTTTTCTCCTGCCTAAGTGGATCCATGTATGTCTTTCTTAGGGTCCTCTTTGTTGCCTAGGTTCTCTGGGGTTGTGGACTGTAGGCTGGTTATCCTTTGCTTCATAAAACTTTAGAATCATAAGCAAATATTTCTGATATTAAGTAAATTTAAATAGGAAAGATCTAGAAAAATTTAGAAAATTAAAAAAATTAGTCATCCATAATCTTAACACGTTATCATTTTTTACTGTTTTCTATGTATGTGTGTATACATATGTGTGTATGTATATATGTATTTAAATACAGCATGGATTCAACTATAAAATTAATATAAAACATGCATGCTTTAAGTATGAATTGAGTTTTTGTTGTCTTTTCCAAGTCATGGTATTTCTAATGAATATTTTAATTCATTATATTATGTTTATATTACATAATATTTTAATTTAACCATTATTGCACATTCAGGCTGCTTATTTTTCACCATCATAAAAATATTGTAAAGGAAATATGTATATAGGTACCTCCCTCCTGTTTGGGGGGATAATCAGAAAACAGGTCTCTTTGTGTAGCCACCTCAGACTCAATCCTCTCTTCAAGGAATTTGTAGGTCAGGAGTAGTGGCATACTCCTATAATCCTACCGATTCAGAGACACTGTGGTTTGAATGTGAAGCAGCATGACAGGTTCTTGTAGTTAGACACCTGTTCGGTGTATTTATGGATTCTTCAGGAAAGAGAGCCAGACTGGAGGAAGGGGGCAGCTGAGGTCTATAGCTCAGACCTGCTTCTGCATCTGCATCTATCTCTGTTCCACTGAGGTGTAAACAGTTGCCACATGCTCTTGGCTACAGTTGCTTCTTCCCATGCCTTCCCCACCACATTGCACACTCTTCCTTCAAACCAGGAAACAAAGTGAATCCTCTCTCTCTTGGGTTGCTTCTGTCAAGTATTTGGTTAGGGAAAAGAGAAAAGTAACTGATACAACAAGTTAAGTTAGTAGGATCTTAACTTTGAGGCCAGCCTGGACTACAACTTGTCAAAAGGAAGGGAAGGGAAAGGAAGGGGAGGGGAGGGGAGGGGAGGCGAAGTTGGGAAGGGGGATAAGGGGAGAAGTAGAGAGTATAGAAGAATAGCAACTTGCTTGTTTTGTAGTGCCCTGTTAGGTTAATACATGGAAAAGGAAACTCTGCCTGCAGGGTCAGTATAATGACCAAGCCCTGGAAACTGTGAAATGGAGGTAGGCAATGCAGTCTCCATGTCCCGATGTCATTGGCCTAAGGAGATAGGTACTACATATTAATCTCTTTAATTGATCACCTTATCACCACAAAAAAAGTCAATGAGAGAGTCCTAGAGTGATTTCTCAGCAATTTGGTACTAAAATGTGACTGATATCACAGGCAACCGAAATGACTGCCTCTGCCACAGTATTGCTGTCCCTGACACACTTTTGTCATCACTAAAAGAGCAGACCCAACAGCTCCCAACACTTAGTGACTCCTCGCAACAGTCCTTGCAGCTTGAGGTAGGTGCTGGACTAGCAACATTGTAAATAGTCTAAGATGCCCCTTATGTTCCACAGGGCATGAAGTGCTTCCTCTTGAATTTAAGAGTAACAGTAGTTTTGCTACTTTGGGTCTTAGAAATGGATGTAAAAGTTTCCTTTCTCCAGTCAGCTAAATTCAATAAATAAGCCTTGCTTAGATCATAGCTTTGAGTATACTAATTGAACAGAACTCCCCTACTACACACACACACACACACACAACACACACACACACACACACACACACACACACTTCGGCAATGCTGGGAACAGAAGCCAGGGTGTCATGCATGCAAGGCAAATGCCCTACCATTGAGTCAAAGCTTTTAATAGATCTTCTTTGAGCCCAACTAGACTGCAAAATTTTGAATGCAGGCTGACTACTCAATATAACACAGTCATCATCAGCTTTGTTTTGATTTGTTTGTTTGAGGTGTTTTTCGGTTGTTGGTCACACAGAGTCTCACTATGTAGCCTAGAATTCATGGTAGTCCTCCTTCTTCAGTCTCCCAAGTGCTGAAGTTGCAAGTATCTACCTCATGTGTCTTATTATATGCGGCAATAGCTATTTCATGTATCCCAGACTAGCCTCAAACTAGCTATGTAACCAGAGACAGCCTTAAACTACAACTACTACTTTTTCCCCTCTTCTTTCTCGGTCTTCCTCATGTAAGTGTCTGTCTATCTGTACGTGTGCCATGACACATGTATGGAGGTCAGAGAAGAATTTCAGAGAGTAGGTTCTCTTTTTCAATTCTGAGGGTTCTGGGTATCTAACTCAGGACATCAGGCTTGATGGACCTGTGGTGGTGGTGGTGGTGGTTGAATGCAAGGCATTGTACACGCTAGGCAAAGACTTTACAAATTGAGTTACAGCCCTAACACATGAGCAGGTAATTCATGTGTCATGAACAGCGCATACATACTATATTAGTGGTAAATGCTGAAATAAAAAATACTAGAATATATTTGTTATTTGTTTTTAAATCCTCAAGGGTAGGGAGCAAGACATTTTAGATAAAATAATCTTGGCGAACTGATGATGGTTATGAATGTTGAGTTCTGGGTGTATGAAGTTTCATTATACTATTCTCTAATTTTGTATGTGTTTGAAACTTATGTAAAGTTTTGAAAATTAAAAATGATTCATTGAGAAACTAGAAAATACTTAATAGCTAGACATAGTGGTGTACATCTTTAATCCCAGCACGGGACACAGACGCAGATGTATCTCTGTGAAATCAAGGCCAACCTTATACATATAGTGAGTTCCAGGACAGTCAGGGCTAAATAGAAAGATCTTGTCTCAAAAAAACAAAAAAAAAAAAAAAACAAACAAACAAAAAAAAAACTGACTAACAATTTTCAAAACTATCGAAGTCATGAAAAAAAAAAGCAACATCTTCCAGAAGTCTGAGGGATGGTGAACATAATGCCTGCTCCTGATGGGATCATGAAGCAGAAAAGAAACCTAAATAAAACCAAAGAATCAGAAGTCAGA